GGCAGGCCGGATGGGCCATGGCCCGCCCAACATTTTGTAATTTGTACACAACTTTTTTTTACTGTTGGACCTTAGAACACCAGCCATAGGCTATTTCTTCCATTTTGGCCCGCCCAGCCCGCCCAGAGTTGGGCTTCAAGCTCCGCCACTGATGAGAAGGGCACATACATTGCCATCGTACGTGCAACAGGCATACACAGTGTGAGACCCGTAAATGAATGGAGGATGTGTACACATCCCCAAAAGAAATTCAACCTAATTCAAGTATCATACACTATTTGACAAAAGGAAACATAAATAATCCAATCATAAAATAGAACAAGATAAGCATCGTCAGTTGAGGACTCACAATATAAGCATGAATCACCAATGACATCACTTTGTACATAGACATGAATTATGAAGGACTTCAGCTATACCCTAATGACGTGAACGAGATGTTAACCTGATGTTAGTGGTGAACCAGTTATTGAATGCTTCAATTGTATATAAAGTAGTAAAGTACCGGTCGAGCTTCAATACAGGAGCTCGCCGATGACAATGAGGTGGGCGGAGGCTTGAACTGGCCGAGACTCGAGCGGGCAATGTGTCACATAGTCAAGGGGAACGAGAAAGTAGTAGTGTGTCCTAGGAGGAGATTACACGTGAGGTGCGGTGCGGAAACAGACGAATAATACCAGATGGTGAGGGGAGGGGAGTTGTGATGGAGGGGCGGTGACGAGAGGAGGGAAGCGCTGACGTCCTAGGAGCAGTGGGAGGAAGGTATGAATAGTTAGGTCGCTCTCTCTCACACAACGCACATGACAGGATAGGTGGAAGATGAGGTGGGTCATTGGGCTTAGTAATATGATGATTGTCATATGCTTCTCAAAAGTGGGCCAAGGCCCACCCTGCAGACCCTCTGGGTCCCTCATTTGACATACTAGACATACGTATGCACTCTCAATCTCATAATAACCATCTTCACCTAAGATGCATTTGGTTGTCTGCACCTATTTTGTTTGCATTTCATACTTGTCTCAGGTGGGTCTGATTGAGCAAATGCAGGGTAAAAACGACCATCTGCATATTGTTTGTTTGCCTTCATGTAGGCTGACTGCATTAGGGAAGCAATTTTTGCCTGGCGTTTGTTGCATGTATTGGCTGGGATGATGCAAGTGCCCGGTGTTTGGTTGCATACATGCAACATGATTAAGAGTTACGAGATACACAAGACACACAAAGTACAATAGAGTTTCTTGGTAGTGTGCTGACGATGGTGACGTTAGTGTAGTAGGCCGCAGACCAGGTGGCCGAGAGGAACGCCGCCGCCGCCGACGCCAGCATGACATGGTGTCCATCCGGTAAGGCTGACGATGATAAGTGAGAATAGAAAGAAGCCACTTTGAATTTTACCTAAACCATAAACCATCACATGACCACCTTAGTACAGTGTAATAGAAAGGTACACATATACTCGTCTACGACCGCAGAAACAAAAAATGTACAACATGAAAGTTGTGTGAAACATTGAGGTGGAGCTATTGGTAAAGGGGAAATTCAAATGGGCGACCATGTGCAGTGAATTTGATGAATTTCGGCCAAAATATCTCCAAACATGAACACGAAATTAAGCATTAGGGTCACCAAAACTACGATCCAATCGTCTAAATGGAACCACGACATCGATATGCATATTTTTCATGTAGACCTTATCTCGAATTGGAGCACAATTGTATAGATTAGAAATGAGTGAAGGAGATTAAGAAGTCTCCTTAAAACAGACCACACACATGCATTCCTACAACTAGATGATACCCCGCACGTTGTTGCCGAAATATTTTGCAACATATTTCAATGTGATTAATTGTATGAAACACGAATATTTAAAATAATAATATAAAAAGCTAACACTAAAAATACATATAATTTATTGTGCTTGATTACTATATAGTTGTAAAATGTTTATTAAATGTATATAGCATAATAGAATGAAAATTCTCATGTATGTTGCATGTTGAGATAGGTCTTTTTTTCCATGCATGTCATGATGAAGTGGTATGCTTGCATGTTGAGAGACATATAATAGTAGGGATAGGCCTTTTCTCATGCATATTGTGCGATGATGTGGCATGCTTGCATGTTGAGAGAAATAGTTAGTGGGGGCTAGCTATTTAGATATACAAGATATACTAGGAAGATGTGGATCTACTCATGTATAAACATTACCACAGAGAAAATACAACACGAAAGTCATGTAAAAAGTCGAGATGAAGTGACTGGTCAAAAGAAATTTCAAACCCTCGACCATGCGAGATGAATTTGACAAAATTCATCCAAAATATCTTTAAATATGAACATAAAATTGAGCATTTACAGTTGATGAAACCATGAACTGATCGTCTGAATGGAACCATAACATCGATGTACATCTTTTTCGTGTAGAATCATAGCATCGTTTGTGTAGACTAAAAGGTGAAAAAGATTAAGGGGAAATTAAAGTAGAACACGTGCAAACTCAGTGCACCGGTTGGCAGGAGCTCACTTGTAACTACACCACGAGAGCCACTCATGTGTGTTTTTTTGCATCACTCGAGTCTGACTCGCTAGAAACGGTCAAATCAAGTGTTTCCAACGGTACAACTACAGAGGTGCTTTAAAGTTCATGCTATGCACGCCAAACAGTGAATGCGGACGACAAAACGGGCCAAATTCTTTCCACACTAGTCTGGGATGTATGCGGCCTATCAAACACGTTCATACAGCTTTCATAGGATTCCACGGAAGACTCTACCTACCTCCTCAAATTTAAATTTCCCTGTCCCCCTCTCTCAAAGCCACCGTCCCTTCTATATATAAATATCACACTCACGTCACCCCTACACCATCCTCCCTATCATTGACTCGATCGTCGCCACCTACCTCCTATGTATAGATCTCACACCACTCACACCACACGCCTACCATCATCTTCCTTGCCTTTGGCTAGGTCACCTCCACCACCTCCTATATATAGATCTGACATACACCCCACCACCATCTTCCCCGCCCTTTGGCTAGCCCGCCGCCACCCACCTCGTCTATTGATCTCGCACACTCATGCAACCCCTACCACCATCTCTCTCCCACCTCTGGCAAGCGCACCGCCACCCACCTCTTGTATGCAGATCTCGCACACTCATGGCACCTCCTATCACAATGTCCCTTACATCTAGCTAAGTCGCCGCCACCCACCTTCTATATATAGATCTTACAAACTCACGCCGCCCCTGCCACCACCTTCCACACTTTTGGCTAGGTCGCCGCCTACCTTGGCCCCTGCCACCATCTTCCCCTCTTCCGGCTAGGTCGCCGCCACCCTTGGTGACATATCCCATACCCTTCATCCCCAAGCTAATGGCGTATCCGCATCATTGTCGCCTCCTTCGACTTGACTACCAGTCTTCAATCTAACTTCGCTCTCCTCCTTTTCTTCTAGATCTCGACAGATACCCCCAGTCCACCTCCATAAATCCTAACCACCAAGGCGATCCTTCTTCATGTCTCTACCGCCATCGGCGCTCCTACATAGACAACATGTTTGTATCACGACCCTAAGCCACACACCTAGCTTGAGCGCCGCCGCACAAGTATGGCGACAGAAACTATGCGGCTGCAAAATTCGCATGGATTTCAAG